CCCAAATTGATACACACTCAGTAGAAGTGTGGATTTCAGAGTCGGTCCCCAACGTGAATTGTGAAGCCCATTTTGATGCCCAAATAGATACAAACTCGATTTCGGCGTCGATTTCAGAGTCTGTCCCCAACGTCAGTTTTGCTACCCAAATTCATACAAACTCAGTAGAAGTGCCGATTTCGGTTTCGGTTTCGGCGTCGATTTCAGAGTCGGTCTCCAGCGTCAGTGTGGATGCCCATTTGGATCGCCAAATCGATACCCGACGTCAATTCTGATGCCCCAATTGATACAAACTCAGTAAAAGTGTCGATTTCGGTGTCGGTTTCGACGTCGATTCCAGAGGCGGGCCCCCCACGTCAATTGCGATGCCCCTTTTGATGCCCGGCGTCAACTTGATGCCCAAGTACATGAGCTCTAGAACCACCAACGAATTCCCTAACGCCAAAATTGATACATTCCACGTTCCGACCTTTTTCCCCAACGCACCGGCGACGGTCGCAACGTCAAAATTGATACTGATGCGCGTTTAGGACCTCCGAATTTTGCAGCAAACCAGCACTCGCCACGCGGTCGCCACGTGGCCGCCACTCCCCCCCCCCCCCCTCCCCGCGCATCCCAGGGTCGCGCGTGGCAGTTTCGCGCAGCGCACAGCACCCCGGCCCCCGTCGGGCGTGAGATTTTCGCAAAGTCCCCCCACCCCCCCCGCGCGCCACGCGTCGAACGCGAGATTGTATCAAGGTCCTCCCCACGCCGCCGACGCCTCCTTTGCGCGGCATCGGACATGCGATTGTTGCAACAAAAGTCCCCCACCCCCACGCCCGCCTTCCGGCGCCATCGGGCGCGCCTTGCGCGCGCTGTTATTTCAGGGTTCAGGGGGTGCACGACGACGTCGTCTCTTTCTGATTCGTTCGAACCCCCCCCCCGCGGCCGCCACACCTCGGCCGACGACGACCCAGGCGCTTTACGAATTCTAATCACGAGCAAACGCAACGGCAGAACGGCTCGCGCGGAGCCAGGGTCGACGGCCAGCGCCGAAGCGGCCTCCAACCTCATCTTTCTCTCCTCTCCCGCCCCCCGCCCCCCCCTGCCCCCCCCCCATCCCTCCTTCCATTCCTCCCCTCTCTCTTCCATCCCTCCTTGCCCCCCCCCCAACCCCATCCGCCCCCTTCTCTCGCTGCCTCTCTCTTCCCTCCCTCCCGCCCCCCCCCTCACCTCCTTTCCCTCGCCTCCTCCTCCTCCCTCCCCCTCCTCCCTCCTCCTCTCCTCCTCCTCCTCCTCCTCCTCCCTCCTCCTCCTCCCTCCTCCCTCCTCCTTCCTCCTCTCCTCCTCCTCCTCCCTCCTCCTCCTCCTCCTCCTCCTACCTCCTCCTATCCTCATCATCATCCTCATCCTCATCCTCCTCCTCCTCCTCCCTCCTCCGCCTCCTCCTCCTCCTCCTCCTCCTCCTCCTCCTCTCCCCCTCCTCCTCTCCTCGCCCTCCCCCTCCTCCTCCTCGCCTTTCCCCTGCCCCATCCTGGTCATCCTCCTATTTCTCCGTCCTCCTCGCAACTTTCATCAAGAATCAATGTTTTTCTATGCCATAGTCCGCATCTCTCGAACAACTGCCCGACCTCCGCTCGCCGCTGCCACCCCCCATCGCCGCCGAGTAAATCACAGCCACGACAGCCTGCGCGACCACAACCGCCTCCCCGTTTGACACTTCCCACGACGAAGTTCAAGCGGCCAGAGACAACGCACCGTAATTCAGCTGCGTCGGCGAAAACCGAAAATGACACATCAAACGTGTCTGGAAGGTTATCCAACCTCCAAATCGACGTTTCGAGAACACAGTGAAATGCCAGCAACACAGAAATCGACACTTCTGCGAGCGGGACCAACACCAACAACGTAGGATTTGATCATGTAGTTTTGGTCCAACGTTTCTGGGCGAGGTAATCAAAGGGCAGATGGTTTCCCACCCGAATTGCACAGCGTCGAAATCGAAGCACATGTCGAACACAATAGAACATGTGGATGTTAGCTAGCAGGACACATCGCCCGACCCAAGGACAGTGTCAGAAGCGCAGTGTCAACGGCGTAGTGTCAACAGCGTCGTGTCAACATCGTAATGTCAACATCGCAGCGTCGACAGCGCAGTGTCACAGGAGGGGGAACATGAGGAGCAGGAGCCGGACCAGGGGCTGGAGAAAAGCCGGAAGAGGAGCCAGAGCAAGAGCAGGAACAGCTGGTGAAGCAGGAGCAGGAGGGGGAACAGAAGCAGGAGCAGGAGCAGGAGCCCGAGCAGGGGGAGGAGCAGGAGCGGGAGCGGGAGCAGGAGCAGGAGCCGGAGCAGGAGGAAGAGCAGCAGGAGCAGGAGCAGGAGGTGGAGCAGGAGCTGCCAGAGCAGGAGGTGGAGCAGGAGCAGGAGCAGGAGGAGGAGCACGAGCAGGTGAGTTTCAACCTTCGGAGTAGGCGCCTGTCATTTTGAGCGGTAGCACCGCTGTGGGTTTCACGCCCCGTGGGACCGGCCGTCCCCTCTCCGCTCTTGCCTTCCCTCCTCTGTTCCCCCGGGGAACGACGACGACAACGGCGAGGCGTCAGGTAGAAGGTGAAGCCGCGCGCGGTGCGCGCTTACTTTCTCCTCTCCTCTCGTCGTCGTCAGTCTATTGCATGCGGAGCATAATTTTCAGTGTTTAACTTATCTGCCCTGAGGAGCTCGGCCGTCCTCATAGGCGAGCTGACGCCCTCAACTGCTCGGGTGCGAGTCTGGCCCAGAGGCCGTTCCAGTTCGATGCTCCGACTGACAGCCGAAAGCAGGGCGGCGCACTGCAAGAATCGGGGCCAATTCCGGCCAGCTGGAAGCTAGCCTCGTAGCCATAACCTCCGACACGTCTGTCGGCACGGAGACACCTACTACACCTTATGGAAGAAATCCCGGGGAGGCTCGTCCAAGGGGGATCGTCCGGCAGGGTTGTCCAGATCCCCACTGGGCTGCCCAAGGGGTGGTCTGGGATAGATCGCGTTGTCGCCATTGGTCAGCATCGGTTGTCGGGGTTGTCAGGGGGGTGGTCTGGGTTTTTCTCCGATCTGATATTTGTCAATTGGACAATTATTTATTTATTACACAGCATCAAGTGAGACACGGACAAGTCGTGCCGGTAGAGGGCAGGAGGGGGAACAGGAGGAGGAGCGGGAGGAGGAGCAGGAGGAGGGGAGCAAGAGCCACAGCAGGAGCCAGAGCAGGAGCCGGAGCTGGAGGACGAGCAAGAGGAGGAGGAGCATGAGCCCAAGCAGGAGAAGGAGGAGGAACAGGAGCAGGAAGAGGAGCAGGTGCAGGATGTGGAGCAGGAAGAGGAAGAGCACGAGCAGGAGCAGGAGCAGGAGGAGGCGGAGCAGCGTCAACAGCTGTCAACGTTGATGACGCTGCGTTAGTGAAACTGTCCAGCTTTGACACTACGTCTTAAGCCCTACGTTGTTGACGCTACGTTGTTGACACGGCGTTGCTGCTATTATGTTGTTGTCACCTGGATGTGTTAAAACTGATTATCGTTGACATTACGTTGTTGGTACTACGCTGTTGGCACTACGTGTCTGGCACTACCATATTGACACAAGGTTGTTGACAGTACACTATTGATACTAGGTTGTTGGTTGGCACAAAGCTGTTGACACTGTGCATATGTATATATATATATATTCACTACATAGTTGACACAACGTTGTTGACATTGTGCCGATGGCACTACGTTGTTGGTCCGTGTGCAACTAAAGGAAAAGCACGACTCGAATTGCTTGCTCAATGCAAGGTTAAGCAAAACTCTTGTTCGAACCCTCTTTGGAGCCTGTCCGGCCTTCTCGGAAGCCATCGATCGAAAAAAACGTTTCCTCCAATAGCACCACGAGGCCGAAAAGACGATTCGTGGGGCGCTCTGGAAGCCGTTTTGGAGTTGTCTTGAATTGCCCCGCTTGTGCCATATTGGTGCCATGCTGACGCCGCCGAAGTTCATTGGAAGCGATGATGCAACGCGAAAATGCACAAATACAAAAAGAATTTGGCCCCGTTGGCTGGGGAAGGATACATATTTGTTTTTCGGCGGGCTCCTTGCAAGGCTCATGCTGGAGGACATCTTAAGCAAGCTTGGTTCATAGTTCGTAATAGTGGGCGCCAGCTTGGGCTATGAAACCTTCTTGGAGCCGTATTGGACGATCTTGGACGCTCTAGCGCGTCGCGAAACATTGCGTCCAGACCCAAGGGACGGGGCATGCGGAGAAGTAAGTACCGCTCTAAGGAGGAAGAAGGAAGTTGGAATAGGAAACGCCCTAAACAACCTCAGCCCAAAGGACTGGGGCTTCCTGAAATGCATTCTGAGCCAAGCATCATGACATCATTCTCGTGCCACACACATCTGCGCAATCAGAAAGGGGGCCGCTTGTTGCACATTGGCAGAGAAGGGGGAGGAGGAGGAGGAGGAGGAGGAGGAGGAGGAGGCGAAGAGGATGACGATGGGGATGAGGAGGGAGGAGGCGGAGAAAGAGCAGCAGCAGGAGTTGGAGGAGCAGGCGGATCAGAGAATGGCGGATGAGGGGGAAGGAGGGAGACATCAACGACTACGAAGGAATCCGATCTAGAAAAGTGGCCGGCGCCGTTCTGAAGACGGGATCATAGCACCGATTCTGAAATGTGGCCATTGCTGCAGCGGGGAAGGCGACCACTACCACCACGACGATGCCCGCCGCGCAGGGGCCGGCGGCTGGGAGGGGACGTGGGAGGTGGCGGAGATTAGGCGGAGGAGGAGGAGGCGACGCCGACGACCACGTGCAGGAGATGGCGGAGGAGATGGCGAGGAGGAGGAGGAGGAAGAGAAGAAGAAGCACGCAGAGGAGGAGGACGACGACGACGCAAACGAGGCACGGGCGGTGCTGCCGACCCGGACGGACGACGGCGACGACGGCGGCCGCGGCGACCACGACCGCCACGACCACGACGCCGCCGCCGACGGCGGCGCCGCCCCGCCGCGCAGGAGCTGGCCGCGGCGGCCGCCGCGGCTGCGCCGACGCCGCCGCGGCCCGGCGCCCGGGCGCTCCGCCGGCGGCCCTCGGCGGCGGGCTGTGGGCTTCGGCGGCCGAGGGCCGACGAGCGGCCGCCATCGTCGTGGCCGCCGTCGCCGTCGCCGTCGTCGACCTCGCGGGCGTCGCCGCCGCGCCGTCGCGGTCGCGGGAGGGAGGAGGGGAGCGGGGAAGGGGAGGAGGAGGGGGAGGAGGGGGCACGAAGGGAGGGAGCGAGAGGGAGGGGAGGGAGAGGGAGACGGAGGTGGAGGCGGGGAGGGGGGGGGGAGGCAGTGAGATTGGAAGAGGCGGGGGAGGAGGAGATGGGGCGAGGGAAGGAGGGGGAAGGAGAGGAGGGACAGGAGGAGAAGGAGAGGAGGAGCAGACACAATGGAAGGGAGGGAGGGAGGAAGAAAAGGAAGGAGGAAGATGGGGACTGCTGTTGAATACAAGTGCTGCGCTTCAGAATGGGCCTCGTCTTTGGTGCATCCTTGCTCTCGTGAGAGCTGGCGGAAGGGAAAAACAGCGGCGGGCACGCTGGCAGAAGGCGCAGAAGTCGG